GCCTTAAAAGGGCAATAGTCTACTGGGGGGGGGGGGCCTTAAAAGGGCCACTGGCGGAGGGGGCTCTTAAAGGGGCCGCCGCCTGCGGGGAGGGAGGGGCCCTTAAAGGGCCCCCTTTCCCGCGCCGCCCTCGTCCTGGGGACACGGCCCCGCTTGGTGCCATCTGCGCCTCGTCCCTCCAGCCATCGGCCCCTCCCTCCATCCATCACTCCAGACTTCAATCCCTTGCTCCATCCATTTGTCCCTCTGAACATCCCTCCATCCATTCATCTCTCCATGGTGTGCCCATCCGTCTGTTCCTCCGTCCGTCCATTTCTCCATCCCACCAGCCCTCARTCCTTCCCCCAAGTCTCTCCATCCCTCTGTCCTTCTCCAAATTTGTCCCTCCCTCCCTGCCTTTCTGTGCCCAATGGCTCAGGGTGAGGGATGCCAAGCCGCTGGGCACCAAACCAGTCAGGAAAACCAGGCAAAGCATCTGGGGAGCCTCGGGATGGCTCCCACTCGGGCTGCCCCAGTGCTGGAGGGAGGACAGACAGACGGCACGGGAAGCAACACTCGGGGAGGGACAATTAAATTGCACATTTTGGGATTGTCGGGAAAAGTAAGAGCAGCTCCTGGCTGGGAGCCAAAGGGAACAAGGCTCCGGCTGCGCTCCCGGTGCCCTCCTCCCCGCACGCCCCTCCGGCCCTTCCCTGCCGGACAGGAATAACCGCCCGCTTTGTTCCTCGCCTGGGCAGGAGGACGGGCCAGAAGGGAAAAAAAGAAAAAAAGAAAACCAAAACAACCAAAAAACAAAAGAAAAAAGAGTGCCGCACGCGCGGTTTTATTTCCGCCTGTTCCTCTGCATTAGGAATTCAGGTCTCGTCTCCSCCTCCAGTCCTTGGAGGGGACTGGGGAAATCATGTTATTCGAGGCRCCAGGAAAGGAGGCCCGAGCCGAGCCCGGCCCCTCGTGGTGCCGCTCCCGTTCGCCAGCGGCTTCTTCCCGAGCTGGCAAGTCGGGGTGCCCGCGGAGCTAAGGGATGCCCTGTAGCAGTGAAAGCGGCCGCTGGCTCCGCGCGCCGCTCGTCCGCACGTGTCGGCACCGCGGGAAGGACGGGAAGCGCCTCCTGCCACGAGCCTTGTTGTGGGTGCGCGCCCTAATTGCGGCGCAGGCAAGCGGGTGTGTACGGGCAAACAAGGAAATTAATCCGGGTAATTGCTACGTGGGATGCTGCACCTCCCGCTAGCCCATGGGCACGCGCCCGGAGTGCCGGGACGGCTCCCGGAGTCGGGATCTGCGGAGGACGAAGCGACACGAAGGAKGGCACGGACGGGCCTCGGCCTCTGCCACCTCCCCGTGCTCGCCGCTTGGAGCGGATCAAATCCCACCGGCATCCGCTTCCCGGCTCCCGCTGCACCGGAGCCGCCAGAGATTCCCCCCTGTGCGTCCCCCCTGGATGGGTCGGACACTCCTGGCTTTTCCGGAGCACTTTCCAGAGGGAAGCAGAGGCTGGTCCTGCCAAGGACAGCGGGAAGATGTGCAGGGCACACTTTGCGGATGCTTTTCATCTCCTAAGTGCTTTGCAAACATTAACTAATTAATCCTAATTAACTCATTACCTAATTACAGGCAAACGGCCCTCCCATTTGGTGGGAGGAGGGAAGGGAAATTAATGCACTGTCACTTTTTAACCAAACATTCCTCATGGTCCCTAAGCAGCTATTCCAGCACCCACCTGTCCCCAGTGACTTTGCCTGGGAGTCCCAACGTTTCTTGACTTGCCRATGGCTATGGATCCAGGATAAAAACCTTGGAGCAGCCACAGATAGCTCCGGGCCTCCAAGTAATGCCCTAGGAGCAAGGTAAGCAAACATCCACCTGGAGGAACCTCCCAAATCCACAGCCCCAGGGCTGGTTTGGGGCAGCACCGGTGGCTTTACCCTTGTGTGCTCTTTGTGAGCTCCGTGACGCAGGAGGAAAGGACAGGAAAGGCTCCGTGATGCCTCCTGCCTTTGGGGATGAAGAGGAACGAGGAAGGCGCTGCCATTTCCCGCAGTGACAGGCCAGCCTTTTGTGCGGGAGCAGAGCGAGCAGGTGTAGCTGCCTGCTGAAACACTCACAGAGGTGATTTATGTTGAGGGAGGCAGCTCTGCGCTCCTTGGAGCGCTCCTTTCCCTTCCCTTCCTTTTAATTGTGGTTGGATCTACCTTGGGGGCAAAAAAAGCCTTTGAAGGCGGTTTTTTTTTTTCTTTTTTTTAAACTTTTTGTTTGAATGGGAGRTTTGCAGCCAGCTCCATTTCCTCTAGGTGCTTCCATCCATTGAGAGGCCTGGAGCGTTGAATAGTGCCACCCTGTACGAGGGACATTCCCAGGAGACATCTGCTTACCATGCTCTGGAAGCTCCCTGTGGATGGGGAGCCGCGCTGCGCATCGGGGCTCCCAACGGCCGGGAATCGCCAAAGGCGACGCTCCGAACGGCGGCGGTTTCACCRTCACGGCCAAAACTTCCAGCAGCAGAACCCGCCGGCCCTGCGGGTGGAAGAGAAACAGTGAGAGCAGCTGAGAAGACGGCTAGTGAGCAGAAAGTAGGGGCCGACAGGGGGTCGGGGACACCGGGGTCTGGGGACCACTGAAACGTGCCCGTCCCTCCCAGTGAGGATGCAAAGCAGGGAGTTTGCAAGGAGCTGGTCCCGGAGCCCGGATGAGCCAAGCTGTTAATTAACGTGTTCGGGGATGTTTCAAGACAGGGAAGTGCTTGGATGAGTATTTAAAGGGGGGACAGGGTGATGCCAGGCCAGTTAGCTCAAGGGGATGAATCCCTGAGAAATGCCAGGACGCAGTCAGGTATCCAGTCCTGGAAATCTTTGGTGTAGGCAGGAATTGTGCCCGCGCTTTGGAGGGAGCTGCCGGCAGCTCCTCCCGTGCCTGCACCCCCTACTYGTGCCAAGCTCTTCTGCTCCCTAATACACCCATCCTGCCTGCCACGGCTCCGGAGCCATGCGGAATAAGAGGGGGACAAAGCGCGATGGCGTTTTCCTCCTACCCAGCTGCTCCTGCGGAGCTGTGGGAACAGCGAGAGAGGGAGGAARAAGATGAAAGGCAGCGTGGGAACGCGGCTGCTTGGCTCTCTTCTGCAATAAAACCCAGGCCCTCCAACTCCTCCAGCCCAGCCCGAGAGGCAGAGGGGGAGAGGAACAACCCTGCGCTCACTCGGAGTGGCAGTGTGCTTCAAAGCAGAGACAAGCAGGGGTAAAACCACAGAAAGCCCAAAGGAYTGAGGGCCAGGTGTGCAAAGAGAGGCAGCAATGGCCAAATCCTGTGGGATGAAGAACCTCGAGGTCCTCCTAGAGCTGGACAATTGGTGTCTGGTTTTCCCAGTGGATGGAGTTGGTGATGAGCAGAGGAAATTTGTGCACACCTTCTGCTTTTTATTGCCTCTCCCATCGTGTCAGCTCCACTCAGGAAGGACTCGGAAGCCCATCGAGTGCGACTCGGAGAGAGGCTGGGACAGGCGGCGATGGCAACCAGGAGCTGAGAAAACTTGGCCTGTGCAGAAGGGGCTGAAGGACTGGATTTGTTTAGTCTAGAGAAGAGGAGGCTGAGGGGAGACATAATAACAGGCTTCAAGTATGTGAGAGGGAATAAAGAGCTCTCAGCCCACCGGGAGAATCACTGCAGGCGTCGTGGGGGGCACCTTGGCCTCCTCAGTGTCCATTCAGTGCGTCCCTCTCATCATAGRGGTTTTCCTTCCCATCCTCCTCCATGATGGAGCATTTTGGGAAACCTGGAAAGTGCAGAAAAACAGTCCAGAGCTGGTTTTGCCTTTTTTTTTTCTTTAACTGGAAATTTGTGGGAAACCCTTTATTTGGTGCAACCAGACTCCACAGTACAGAGCCGCTTGCCGCGTGGTTTAGTGAGCGCACAGCGACAAGCAACTTGGGTTGCAAATAATACACGACCGTGTAACAAAAGCAGCGAAAAGACGTTGTCCCAATCCACTGCAATGCRCCCACCAACATCTCAAAATGAGAAGAAATGTTTGTATTGCAATTATTATTATTTCTTTCTAAAATAAAATAATAAAAAAAAGGAAGCGCTGATATAGTGAAACAGAAAGGCAGCGAGTATCTGAAGAGCTTGAAAACTGGGCTTGAAGAGTTAAYGTACTGCTGTGGAGTAGGAGAACCTCATAGTTTGAAGAAAATGGTTGGGAACGAATGCGATGAGCTGGGTTTCACCCTGCCCACACCAGGAGAGGAGGCCAGAAGTTTTTAGTAAAGACAGTTTTCCCTCTACCTGCTCAACACACTTGGAGCTGTGCGGTGGCTGGCACAGAGAGCCCATTCGCTTCCAGAGGCGCCTGCGCTGCTGCTTTTAATCTTGGAATATCACAATCTTTGGGATTCTTCAGCTGTCCTTTGAGTCTCCTTGGGAGAGGAGAAAAACAGGCAGATAAGACCTGAGAGACGGGAGGAGAAAAAAAAAAAAAAAAAAGATGAATAAAGAAGTATTTGCGCATGAGTAAAAATAATAAAAGAAAGCAAAACTTTAATGGAAGAACAGCATCACCTTGGAGGCTAGTATTATATATTTACAGGCTCACATATATACACACGTATATATGTACTAACAACACAGTTCTTACTCAGGTTCACAGGTTTTATTTGCAAAATTAGAGATTTAATTGTCTTTTACATCAAAGCATGGGTGGAAATTCAGTGTCCTTGGTACAGAATGAGCTTGAATTTTGCAGAAATTTCACCAAGCGCTGTATGCTCTGAGATCCTGCAAGGACTGTTGGCAACAAAACTTACATCTGCTCCCTCAAATACTCAGGATCTTGGTGTGGGATGAACCTCCATAGGAAAAATGTGGTAGAAAAAAAATGTGGTAGAAAAAAAAATACATATTTTTTTTTTCAAACAAATAATTTTAAAAAGCACTGTCGACAAAATTAGCTGCCATTCGTAGAAGAAAACGCTGGTGCAAGACAGAGCTAAGCCGTCATTTGGGACCAAGCCAGAGGCTCACAACCACAGCAGCGGCAAGAATAAACTTTTGCATTTCTGCAGCACGTTTTTGGGGGCCGTTTTTTAGAGGACGAGCAGGCCTTGCCTTTCTGCAAGAGACCCCCAAACGCAGCGCCCAGGACAGGCACGGCGGCAGCAAAAAGGACAATTTTCCCTTTCTCCCCTGCTTAAAAGACGGGGTTTGCATGTGCCTCAAAGCCYGCTCACCTGGGCGACCTGTGCCCTGCTACCGAACCTCCCAGAAGGTCCTAAACGGGGGAAAAAGAGGGAAAGAAAAAAACAACAAGTTTCCAAAGTCCTTTGCAGCTGAACTCCGGGTGCAAGGGGGATGCAGGACATGGGAAGCAGGGTCCCCTCTGAGGCTCCTGCCTCGGTTTCCCCCTTGTCCGAGGGCATGGGGAGCYGGATGCACCAGGTGAGGACACAGGGCTCCAGGCCTGGGCGGTGGATTTTTGGGGGCAAAAAGGCCTGGATTGGAGCAGGAGGCGCCTTTCCCAGGCAGACTCTCTTTCCCCTGCTCCGGGTGCTGCCTGCGGATTTGGGGAGCTCCTTGGCTCAGGCAGGAAGGGCTGGAAAAGAAAAATAACCAGAGGAAGAAAGAAAAATAAAAGCAGAAGGTCCCAAGGAGGGAAGCAAAGGGGGCCCGGCCAGAGCGGGCATGGGGGCACCTCCTGCCCGGGAAGGTGCCGGGGGACCCCAAGGAGGAGCTTGGGGGGGGGGTCTGAATGGGGGGTGGAGATGGGGGACCCCGGGTGGGGGGGACATGGGGAGATGGCAAAGGGGTCCTGGGGAGACCGGGGACATCAGTGGGGGGGACATGGGGGATGGCGAGGGGGTCCCAGAGGAGACCGGGGACATCAGTGGGGGGGACATGGGGGATGGCGAGGGGGTCCCAGAGGAGACCGGGGAGACCACGAGGGGACGACGAGGGGGTCCCGGCGGTGCCGAGGACACCGGGGAGGCGGCGGCGGCACCGCTGAGGGTCGGCCCGCGCCCTCCTTCCCTCCCTCCTTCCCTCCGTGAGGAGCCGCCGCCATGGCGGGGGGTGGGGGGCCCCGCGCGCCGCCCCCCGCCCGGGCGGGGAGGGGAAGCGGCGGCGGCGGCAACGGGGCGGGGGGGCTGGGGGGCCCGTCCGCCGTCCCCGCGCACCGGAGCCTGGGCGGGCGGAGGAGGAGGGCGCGGAGGCGGGAGGGCGGCGCGGGGGCGCCCATTTCCCTCCGTGCCGCCGGAGCGCCGGCTGGAGCGCCGCTTTGCCGGGGAGCATGACTGTTGGTATAGGAAGTGTCTGCTTGCTTCTCTTTTTTTTTTTTCTTTTCCGTTTTATGATAATAACCTCCATTTTTTTTTTTCCTCTCTCTCTCTTAAAAAGAAGGGGGGGGGGAGGATAAATAAAAAACCCGGCCCACCCGGGTGCCGGCGGCCGGTAAACACGGGCCGTTGGCGGGGGGCGCCTCGCCTCAGCGCCGCCGCGGATCTGCAGAACATGGCGGCCGCGGACGGCGTTAAAAATAAGCCGGGGGGCTGCCATTTTTGTTTTCCTTTTGTCTGCGAATTTTAATAAAAACTGTCTGAGAATGTGGGAGAGGCGGCAGCGGGGGCACCGAAAGGGGCCGCTTTTTTTTTTTTCCCCTTTTTTTTTTTTTTTTTTTCCCTCCTCCTTCAGTGCGCGGCGGCTTTTTTGTCTGCGCCGCGGCCGGGGCCGGGACTCGCCCGTTGCCGCCGCCTCGCCAGGTCGGCGATCGCCCCTTCAACTTGCGCCAAACTTTACCTTTTTAACCGCGGCTTCCCCCCGCTCCGCTTTCTCTTTTTCCTTCCCCTCCCCTCCGTGGCCATGGGGCAGCCAGGAAAATGCCCGCTTCGGGTTTTCAGCCTTATTTTTCTTTCTTTCCCTCCCTTCTTCCCCACAGCCCCTTTTCTGGATGGTTTAACGGAAAAGTTAATTGCAGCTGCAACCTACCTATTTTTGTATATTTATTTTTATTTTTTTTTCCAAGCGTCTCAGCGAGGAGCTGGGGATGTTGCATGTGGGGAGGGGGTTGTCTTTTTGTTGCCTCGTTTATTTTATTTTATTTTCATTTTTTTTTTTTCTGGAGCAGGGCATTTATTATTTATTTCCCTACCTTTCTATCTCCGCATTTTCTCCTTCCCTCTTTTATTTCGTATCCGCTCTCGCGACGAAGGGGAGGGTTTCGGCACGGCGGCGGGACCCCCCTCCCCACCACCACCACCATCATCATCATCATCTCCGCGGCGGGGCCCTAGCAAGGCCTGGGCACTTACATATATATTTATATAAATATATATGTATTTAGCCCGCTGGTTTAGCTGTGCGGAGGCTGCTGGTACATCCATAGCCCCCCCGCCGCCTCCAAGCCCGGCCACGCTGGGCCGGAGCGGCTAAGCCGGACGCCGGGAGGAGGAGGAGGAGGAAGATGCGTTTTCGCCCGGCCGATGGTTAATCTGCTTTTTCTTTTATTTTCTCCCACTCCCCCCGGCGCTTTTTATCCACTGCACAGAGGATGCTCCCTTGCAGCTCCCCTGCTTCCCATCCTGGGGTGCTTTTTGGGGCGGTCGCAGGGKTTTTTTTTTGCCTCGGGATGGGGTGTTTCGGGGCTCGGAGCGTTATTTGGGCGAGGAGGTAAAAGTTTTGCCGTGGCTCGGCCGGGCGGCGCGGGACACGGCGTTAGGCCCCGCGTTTCCAGCGGGCTCCCCGCCGCTCCGAGCCGCCGGCGCTGTAGGGGCGACACTGCCACAAAGCTCTGGGCTCTGAAAACACTGCTTTTTCTTTTTCTTTTTCTTTTTTTTTTTTAATTAATTTTATTTTTAAGCTACTTTCTTGCAGGAGGAAAAAACAAAACCAAAATATCCCCCCATCCTCCTCGGCACCCCCTCTTCCCATGGGCTGGGGAGGTCGGAGCTGCTCCGCTTTTGTTCCCCGGCCTCTCCGGGAGCTGGCGCGACGAAGCGAGGAGGGGATTATTATTTTCTTTTTCTCCATGGTGAGTTTCGGTGTGTGAAGTTGTCCTTCCTTGTCCCCCCCCCCCACAACCCCCTTCCTGTAGAAAAACGCCCCGCGGGCAGCAGCGGTTCTCGGCTAGACCCGGAGATGGACGCGGAGAAGGGGAAGCAGCGCCAGTACTCTCAGAGGTGGGCACGCCGGCGGGGGCACAAAGGAGCCAGGGGGGTGGTATTTGGGGCTGGGGGGGGACCCCGACCTTGCCCTGGAGAAGTTCAACAACGGAGGCGCCCCAGGGGAGGGGGCGGCTGCCCAGCAGATACAACCAACCAGGGAAAAAGCCAGAAGATACATGCTCAAAATAATATTTTCTTCCTCAAAAAAAAAAATCCATCTTTTTGGCTCAAGGAAAATGAAAAATATCCCTTGCTGTTTAAGATGTTATGACAAGTGCATGTGTATTTAATGTTTACGTGTGTGTGTGTTGCGGGGCTGGGGGCGGTGGAAAAAATCTGCTTGCTGGGGGTGAAAAATTGCTGTCGGGGAGGGCCGGGCCTCAGTTTCCCCACCTGTAAGAGCTGTCCCGCCGGTGCTTGCAGCGTTCGTGGGGGCTCAGCCTGGCTTGTACTGGGTTCCTCTCCGGTGCCTGTGGGAAATTTGGATTTGCCGCCTCCCTAAAAAAAAATGAGGATTGTGGCTGGGGGAGSCTGGGTGGCTCCGCGCAGCGTCGCGGAGGCTGCCGGCGGGCTCGGCGCGGGGCAGTGCCGGGGGGCTGGAGCGGTCCCGGCAGCGCTGCCGGCTCCGGGACACGGGGGCCGAGGCGGCTCGTGAGCGCCCCGCGGGCGCCGGGTCACGCTCCCCGCTCGGGGACGTGGCTGTGTCCGGGCTTTGGACCCTGGCGTGTGGGGGGATACGGGCCCGGCGTGTTTGGCGGCGCCGCTTCCTCCTGGCGTCTCCCGGGCAGCTCGGCCCGTGGGCTCCCTATGGATGTGCCCGGCTCCGGGAGGTCCCTCTCGCCACAGCGGTGGGGCCAGATGGCCGGATTCCCGCGGTGGCTCCGCTTCCTCGCCAGGCCAGGCGGGTGCCTCCATCCCAGGGCATCACGTGGAGGGTGCTGGTTGGTTTCGGCCCTTCCGCCGGCTCCCCCGGCTCATCTCCGGCCTTGTGGCGCTTTTCCCCAGCGTCTTTCGGCATCTGCACCCAACGCCCCTTCTCGGTGCCGTCTTATCCGGGAGTCCCATCCCACAGTGGCCTCCAGCTTTGGCTCCTCTTTGCTGCTCCATCCTTGCTTCTGCTCTGCGTCCATCTCTTTCCTGCTCCRGGCAGGGCAGTCACAGGTGCTCGGGGCATGTGGAGAATCCCACTTCTCCATGCAGGACACCGACACGGGCGACATCCTCCGCGCGCTTGGCCTGCGCCTGTCYGTGCAGCAGGATGGGGGTTTCTCCCAGTGTCCGGCTCCTCCTGCCTTSGCTGGGAGAGGAAATGGGAATGAGAAACCCCAGGCCGCAGCACTTCGGGGGGCGGAAGCGCGGGCTTTAATTGGTTCCATCTTGGGTGAATTCTTCTGGCACGAGATCCATGAGCGGCTCCTCTCAGAGCGAGCGCCGCAGGGGCACTTCGGAACCCGCCTGCGCCAGCTTTCCCGGCATCGCCGCCGCTTCCCCGAAAAAGCCTGGAAAGCCAGGCCGGGAATGGAGGCGGCGAGGAAGAGGGGGTGGAAGAGGGTCACCCTGTGCCGAACGGTCCCTGCGGCTCCAAGCGAGACTTATCCTTGCGGGAAGCCCACCTGGGCACAGAGAGCTGGTGATCCACTCGCTTTGATGCCGCTTTCTTGTCGCCAGCTCCGGAGCGGGGTTTTACTTTGCCTTCGGAAGCGGGGCCCTCTCTTTCTCTTGGAAACACAGGCCGGGTTCTCCGCGTCGCCTCCCTTGGCGCGAGGGGCTCTCTGACCCGATGCTCTGCCGAGAAGGGGCCTCGCTTCCAGCCCCTCCGAGGGCACCCCGCCGTATCGCTCCCGCATCCTTCCCCTCCTCGCGGCGGTGCCGGGCCGCGTCCGTGAAAAGAATCTCTTGTTTCTTTTTATTTCAGCGAAGGCGAGAGAGAGAGGGCTGCCCAAGTAGAGGCGCTCCCTAGAGCACTGTAGCTTGCCTTAGCGGCAGTTTGGTAGGAAGTTGGAAGGCTAGTGAGCTCCGGGGCCCGGCGCTCGCGCCCACCACCTACCTCCATCGCTCTGGAGCCGCCTCGACACGTCTCCCCCGGCAGCTGCGGCCACCTGTGAGTACCAAGCACGGCGCAGCCGCCCCGGCACCCGCCTCCCCGCTTGCCCCTCGTGCCCCCGCTCTTCGCGCCGCCTGCCTGCCCCTGGCCGCGGAGGCGCTTTTCCAGGCTCCGCGCAGCCGCCCGCTTGCGCTTCCGACCGCCTGCCTTCCTCCCGGGCATCCCCCTCCCGCCTGCCGCCTTCCCCGCTCGCTGCCGGAGCCTCCGACGCCTTTTCCGCCCTCTCCGCGTGCCCTTAGGGACACTCAGCACAGGGCTCCTCTCCTTGCTCTCTGCCAGCACCATCTCCATGCCATAGGAAGGCTCTTCCCCACCACGAGTTTTTCCTTCCAGACTCTTTCCTAGCCAAAAAAACAGGGACCAGGAAACCCTTCCATAAACTTCATGCGGAGGCCGCAGAGCCCCAGGTGCCCACAGGAATCCCTGGCGCTGCAGCACTCCCCCCACTTCATCATTTCCATTTTAATGGATTTTTCTTCCCCCCACCCCCTTTGCTGTGTGTCAGCCTCCATTTTTCATAGTTAGCTCAGAATATAGAAAAAAGGGAGTTTGTATATTTTCCATCTGCTTTATATCCCCTCCGGCACCTTCCCCAGCTCTCCAAGCGCCTCTCGCACCGTTCCAGCCTGGGGAAGAGCTCCCTCTGCTCCGCATGAAACACTGCCCAATTTATAAAATTAAGTTGGGACAGGAATAGGATATTTCTTTTTTGGCACAGCGGCCGCTCCTCCTCTTTTTACTCTAGGCAGGCTTGTAAAGCTCCAAACGTGGTGGTTTTGGCTATTGCAGCAGCCTCATTATTTAGTAAGGCCTCAGGTGGAGTGGGAGGGAGGAGGACACGGGWTATTTGTGCCTTCCTCCCCAGGGCTGTTTCAGGTTAGATCGGGATCTTTTCTTAAGAGGTTGTAGCAAACCCAAGAGAAAGAGCTCATTGTATATAAGCTATAATAATAATATGATAGGGCCTGAAAAATGCTAGCCCCTCATCGGAGATGCTGCTTTGCGGCAGTGGTCCCTGCAAACACTTTATGGCCCCTCAGCCCTGAAAATTGGGCTGAAAACCAGCCCCATCGGGGGCTTGTGGCACCTGCCTCTGCGGAGGCTTTTAGGGGCCTTGGCTGGTGCCCGGGGCCACCCCGTCCCTGCCCGGGGCTGGCTCTGTGCTCGGGGGTAAGTTGTGGTGGATGCGGGGCCCTCTCTGTGCTCTGCGAGAGGGTCCAGGCCGCGGTCCCTCGGAGCTGTTCCGGCACTGGGGGATAAATAAAGCTGCTCCGGGGTGGCTGTGGGTGCTGCACAGGGGCCGTGCGAGCCCGGCTGCCCCTCGCGCCGCACCCCGGGGGCCGGGGTCGTAACAACCCCTCACCTGCTGCGGGGAACCCCAGCCTGCGGTGCTCCCAGCATCGGGAATCCTGCATTGGAGCTGCCCTGGCAGCTCCATCCACCTCCAGGAGCAGGGGGAAAACGGGCAGAGGTGCAAAAATCGGCCGACAGAGAGCTCACTGGATCCAGACCTTYGTCTCTGCAGGCCAGTCAGGCTGCCCTCCTCTTCCTCACAGGGCTTTGAGCACCAGGAGGCCTTTGGAGAGGCTTTTTCCTCCCACTCCCACCCCCTTGGCTTTCCCAGCWGCTGGGAGGTTTGTGTGGGGCCAAGCAAGGCTCGTTTGGCCCAACTGCTTCCCGGAGCTTCCCGCCGTTTTCCCGCCTTGGCCCCGTTCGCGGAGAGTTTCGTACAAAGTGGGRACGGGGATGAGACCCAGCTGGTTTTGCCAGGAAAACCATTCCGGGGTTTCAGCGCGACACCAGTGCCTGCCAGGACACGCGCAGAGGAGCAGGATGGGAGTGAGCGTGTTTGGCTTTTGGCRGAGATCCAGGCCGGGATGTGGCCGGGAATAGCGGTTCCTGGGGCGGTGGGGCAGGATCGAGCCTGCCCGGTGCGGGGCTCTGTGGGGCGTTTCACCACCCGAGTTCCTATCCGGGCAGGAGCGCTGCTGCGCTTCCCTCYGGAGCGGCCCGCTCCCAAACCCTCTTCTAATCATAGCTCCAGCTTCCTGTTTTCCCGAGGAGGAGCGAAGSGGCTCCTCGGGGCGCTTCCTGGGGCCGGGATGCAGGGAAGCACCGAGGCTGCGGTGCCGGGGGGTATCCGTGCGCCTTGMAGGGCCGCCGCTGGCCTGGGTTCTGTCGCGCTTGGAGGTCACCCCTCCGTGTCCCRTGTGCTGGGGACAGGGCTACCGCGGCTTCCCGAGCTGATCCGATGGAGGTTCCCACCTCGAAGCGGCTTGCGGCCTCCCATCCGCCGCCAGCACAGGAGAAAAACCGCCGGGAACGGGGAGATTGGGAGGACTAATGCATCTGGCTCCGCGTTCCTGGCGGGTTCGTGCTCATGGAGAGCTGCTCCCTCCGGAGCGGCGCGTTCACCTGACACACATTCCCGTGCCGTTTTTAGCACCCTCCCGAAAAGAGGGCGGCCGGACCCGGCGGGGGATTGCGGGATGTGCTCCCAGTGTGGCTGGGATTGCGGGATGCGTTCCCGGTGCGGCTGACCTGGCTCCGCGTCCGGTGCCACCGGCTTCGCTGCTCCGTCCCCGGCATCGCCGTTGCCCACAACACAGCCGCCGTCCTCTCCTCCCGCTCCGGCTCCCTTTCCCCTGGGAAACGGGGCATGCGGGGGCGCGTCATCCGCAGCAGCCCCCGGCACCGCCGCGCTCCCGTCCCTGCCATTCCCGTTGGGAAGGACCGGGATGCCCCCATAACGTGCACGTCTCTCCCACAGGATGGCGGAGCCTCGCTTTAACAACCCCTACTTCTGGCCGCCCCCTCCCACCATGCCCAGCCAGGTAAGACCCCCCCGCCGCCGCGGGAAGGGGGGCACGAGGGCCTGGGCAGCGCAGGGACGGGGCCCCGGTGCCGTCCCCGCCACCGCGCCGGGCGTCCCGGTCGTCCCTGACCGCGGCTCTGCCCTCTCCCTGCCGCCGGCGGCAGCTGGACAACCTGGTCCTCATCAACAAGATCAAGGAGCAGCTGATGGCGGAGAAGATCCGGCCGCCGCACTTGCCGCCCACCTCGGTGGCCTCGCAGCAGCCGCTGCTGGTGCCGCCGGCGCCCGCCGAGAGCGGCCAGTCCATCATGTCCCTGCCCAAGCTGCAGCAGGTGCCCGGCCTGCACCCGCAGGCCGTGCCGCAGCCCGACGTGGCCCTGCACGCCCGGCCGGCCACCAGCACCGTCACAGGTACCGCGGCGGGCGGCTCGCGGGCGCCGGCCCTGCCCGTCGCCGCGCGCGCTGGCAGTAACGTCCCGCTCGTGCCGGCAGGGCTGGGGCTGGCGGCGCGGGCGCCCGCCGTGAGCAGCTCCGAGTCGAGCGCGGGCACGGGCACCGCCACCCCCTCGACGCCCACGTCGAGCAGCCAGAGCCGCCTCATCGCCTCGTCGCCCACCCTCATCTCAGGGATCACCAGCCCGCCCCTCCTCGACTCCATCAAGACAATCCAGGGCCACAGCCTGCTGGGCGCCCCCAAGGCCGAGCGCGGCCGCAAGAAGATCAAGGCGGAGAATCCCTCGGGGCCGCCCGTCCTCGTGGTCCCCTACCCCATCCTGGCGTCGGGCGAGACCGCCAAGGAGGGCAAGACGTACAGGTAGGCGCCGGCGGGAGCGCGCGGCGGCGGCCGCCGGCCCCCAGCGCAGACCCTCTCGCCCGCCCGCAGGTGTAAGGTCTGCCCCTTGACGTTCTTCACCAAGTCGGAGATGCAGATCCACTCCAAGTCGCACACGGAGGCCAAGCCCCACAAGTGCCCGCATTGCTCCAAGTCCTTCGCCAACGCGTCCTACCTGGCGCAGCACCTGCGCATCCACCTGGGCGTCAAGCCCTACCACTGCTCCTACTGCGAGAAGTCCTTCCGGCAGCTCTCCCACCTCCAGCAGCACACCAGGTGACGGGGATGGGGGCGCGGGGGGCGCTGCCCGCGGGGCTTGGCCAGGGCACGGCCGCCTGACGCTTGTGCCCTCCCTCCCGCAGAATCCACACTGGCGACAGACCCTACAAGTGCCCGCACCCCGGCTGCGAAAAGGCCTTCACGCAACTCTCCAACCTCCAGGTGGGCACCAAGCCGAGGGGACGCGGGAAGCGGGGAAGAGCCCCGGGAAAGGGCAGACGGGCAGGGGGAAAGAGCCTGGGGAAAGGGCCGCAGGGGGAGCCACTCGCGGGCGCTGTCACCAGCCCCTTGGCCGTACCCCCATTCCCGTGTCCCCCCCCTTGGCCTTCGCAGTCTCACCAGCGACAGCACAACAAGGACAAGCCCTACAAGTGCCCCAACTGCTACCGGGCCTACACGGACTCGGCGTCGCTGCAGATCCACCTCTCGGCGCACGCCATCAAACACGCCAAGGCCTATTGCTGCAGCATGTGCGGCCGCGCTTATACCTCGGTGAGGGCGCGGCGCGGCGGCGGGCACCGCGCGGCACGCGAGGCCACCGCGCCGCTCACTCTGCCCCCTTCCCTGTCCTGCAGGAGACCTATTTGATGAAGCACATGTCCAAACACACCGTGGTGGAGCACCTCGTGAGCCAGCACTCGCCTCAAAGGACCGAGTCCCCCGGCATCCCCGTGCGGATCTCACTCATCTGAACGGGGCTCCGGCACCGCCGTGTCCGGACGCTCCCTCGTGCCGGCCGGCGGAGGGCCGGGAGCCCATGGATGCCGCCGTCGGAAAGGCGCCCGGCCGCCCCCCGCCCGGCCCGGTCCCCCCGGGGCCGCGGTTTCGGTGACATCCAAAGACGGTTTCAGAGCACTTTGAATCTCTGCGGTTTTTTGGAATGGGGTGGGAGGGGGTTTCTTTCCTTCAGTCCCTGCCCCTTCCCTCCTCTCATTTTGGATACAAATATATATATATATTTATTGGCCAAGAAGTTGGTGCTGCTAAAACAGATACGAAATAAGACACAAAACAAACCGCGGACAGAGGAAAAACCAGAAACGCTGGATGGCAAAAGGGGAGAGAAAGTCCAGGCCCTCGACCAACGGCTTCTCTCCTTGGACTCTCCCTTGGGAGCCGCGGCCGTAGAGGCCGGCGGGACTCCGGAGCCGCAGTGGGACGGAGCCCGCTGTGCCGCCGCGTCTGACCTCTTTGGGACGCTTTGATTGTTTTGTTCTGTTTTTCTTTTTTTTTTAATGTTCCGCCCCCCCCCCTTTCCTTTTGGGTTATCTGCTGCCCGCGCTGGGACTGGCTGGGCGCGAGGGAGCAAAAACAGCCCAGGGGCCACCGGGGCCGCGACGGGGGGAATTTCGGGACCCCCAGTCGCCCGTCCGGCACCGGGAGGTTCCGAGGGGCCAGTGGAGCCCCCAAATCCCAGCTCCTCCGGCGCTTCCGAACCCCGCGGCCGGAGCCGCGCGCCTGCCCCTCTCTKCAGAAAAGCTAGACAAAAAACTCATATATATTATGTACTCTTTGGTTCCGTTTTTTGGATATTAACTGTGTTATTTTTTTATACACTTTTTAAGCCTTAACTCATTGTTTTGCCAGGGTGGTTATTCCCTCCTGTTTATTAATTTGACCCCCGCAGCCTTTTCCCTCCCCTGCCCTCCCGCCTCTGGCTCCTCGTTTCCGAATCGATGTTGTACGATACTCAATATTGTAATCTTTTTTGTCAGCATGTTAATACCGTGTAAATACGCCTCTTATACAAACTGTTAACACTTCTCCCCCCACCTCGCCCCCTCTTTCCCCGTTTTGGGGCTTTTTCTTTTTTATTTTTTTCCTCGGTGGAAATCCGGGCCACGTGTCTCTAGAGCTAGTTATTACCTTATTAAAAAAAAAAAAAAAAAAGGAAAAAAAAGTGGGGTTAAAACGAGAAAACAAGCAAAATTCCCCCCCTCCCAGTCCCCTCTTTCCCACCCTGTTTGTGTTGTGGGTTGTGGGCAGAGGCCGCAGCCTCCACAGGGACGTTCGTGTCCTGCGGGGACAGGTTAGCGCCGCCAAACGACAACCCTCACAAAGCAAAAGGAAAAAAAAAAAGGATTAAAAAAAATACTCTTTGTATTTCTCTGTTGTGGAAGACAAAAAAAAATAAACCTGTACATGCAACCTTTGTCCGGGCTGCACCGTGTGTGAGGGGCTGGGGGGTGGGGGACAGGCTGCTTCCTGGGGAGCGTCGCTGTCACCACGAGGTCCAGGGACACCCGCTCCTGGGATTCGTCACCACCGTGACCGCAGCTCGGATCTCCAGGGCCAGCAGCTCGAGGGCACCGACCCCAGGGACGCCAGGACCATGGGCCACCTCCAGGGCCGTCACCTTTGTGGACTCAGCTCCACAGGCACCACCTCCGCTCCATGGACGTCATTTTGGGGGACACCGCAGGCACTGGGACCAGCTCCCCCGTGACACCCCTCCAGGGGCAGCAGCACCAAGGCCGCTGCTTCAGCAGCTTGTGACACCACAGGAGGCCCCAAAGGGACACCCAGGGGTCCCCTCTCCCCTCCAGCCCAACACCCATTTGCCTCAAAGTCCCTGTCAGGGTGACCCCCTGCACCCCCACCCTGCAGTGCACAGACCAGGCACCCACTGACCCCTTCTGCCCGTGAGGGAGCAGCATTTGGGCAGAGCCCCTTGGTGGAGCAAGGACAGTCCCCAGGGACCCCTCCCAGGCCAGCAGAGCCTGGGGACCCCACACAGTTTCCAGGAGCAGCAGCAGGRGCCTCACTTGACGGCCCCACCAGCCCCAAAAAGGGAAGGGGCCATTTCTCATTTTCAGTGTTTATTAAAAACAAAAACAGGAAAAAGGGCTCTGTGTGTTTTTTTTCCCTCCTCCTCTCTCTTTTTTTTTTTTTTTTTTAAAAAGACCGCAGTGGTTGGGCTGTGGTGGCGAGGGGCCCTGCGGACAGGGGGTGCCTTACCTGGCTCAGGACAACCCAAACTCCCTCTGGGGGGGGGGCCCCACAGCCCCCCCAAGCACCCCCGAGAGGGGCTAAAAGCCTCAGGGGGAAGGGGAGGTTCAAGCAGCTGAGCCCCCCGGCACCACCAGGCACCCACTGTTTAAGGCAACCATCCTGTTTCACCCTGATGGGTGGGGTAAGGCCGGGGAGGGGGGGCCGGCTGAGCACCCCCCCGGCCCGGTGCGAGGTGTGTGGGGGCTAATGCTAGGGGCTATTTACACATCCCTGCGGCAGAGCCGGCCCCCGGCGCGGGGGCCCCTTGTGCTCGGCCCGTGGAGCCTCCCAGCGCAGGGTGGCGGAGGGGAGGGCGCGGGGGGGTCCCACCGCCCTCCCCGGGGAGCGTCCGTGCGAGCGCGGCGGCTCTACGAGTCCTTGAGCATGCTGATGCGCGCGTAGATCTTGAGCGCCGGGCCCAGCTTGATGTTCATGGTGCTCATGAGATGGTCCTCCTTGAGCAGCAGCAGCGCCTGCCCGTCGATCTCCTGCGCCCGGAACTCCTCGGCGATCTCCTGGCAGCCTGCGGGCGGCGAGCGGAGCTGAGCGGCACTGCCCGGAGCCACCCGCGCTCCCTCCCTCCGGCCCCGCGCCGGGAAGCTTCCCGGGAAAGYCTCACCGGGCAGCGAGCGGATGAACTCGTAGACGTCCTCCACGTTCCACTTGCTGGGCTCGCTGGGCAGGAAGCGGTGCCCGATGCCGGCCAGCTCCCGCACGTGCATGTCGGGCAGCTCCATGTCGCGCAGCTCGAGGTCACCCTGGCGCCGGCGCGACGTGGACGAGCTGGCGGAGATGGGCGACAGCGGCTCCTCGTAGCTCGAGTTGTCCGAGCAGCGGCTCGAGTCCTCCTGGCTGTGGTTGAGCTGCAGCGACGTCGTCACGGAGAGTGGCACCGAGCCCGCGGGCAGGGAGACCGGGCTCTGCGGGACGCAGCGACCGCCCGGCGCCGGCCTCAGAGCCCGCCCGCGCGGCCGCCCCGGCGCCGGGGGGGAACAGGGTGCAGGCGGGGGACCCCGTGCGCTGCCCTGCGCCCTCACCTGCTTCTTGGTGTCTTTGCCGAGGGCGGGCAAGGTGCTTTTGCAGGAGCGGCGGCGCCCGTGCGGCGGCCCGCCGGGCTTCTGCAGCTTGCTGCGGTCGGGGTGGAACAGCCCCACGCGCTTGGTGCAGCCCACGTTGTACCTGCCAGGGCAGCGGGGACACAGGGCGTTGGTACAGGAGGCTCGGGGCRGGGGGAAGAGGATTTTAGGGGGAAAAGGGGCATTTTTGCTTACCTCTTGGCACAGGCCATGGAGCAGAAGCGCTTGGAGCGCTTGAACTTGTAGGCGAAGTCGACGCGGCCGCAGAGCTCGCACTTCAGCTTGGGCGGGTTCCCCTCGTCCTTGGGCTCTGGCGAGGGAAGCGGGGGTGTCCGAGGCGCGGCGGGGCGGCGCGCGGGGCCCGGCGGCAGCGGCGCCGCGCGCCGGGCGCTACCTGGCGCGTAGGGCTCCTCCATGTCCGAGTCGGTGGTGGTGGCGGTGTCCGGCGGCGGCGGCGGGGGCAGCTTCTCCGGCGGCAGCTCCTGCGCATACTTGTGCTTCAGGCTGCCCACGAGCAGCGAGGAGCGCCCCACCTGCCGGGGCGGACGCGTCGGAACGGCACGGGATGGACCGAACGGAACCGCGGGGAACGCGGCACASCCCGCTGCAGGGAATGGGGCTGGAACGGACCGCGTCGGGCTGGGCCCAACTGAGGGGAACGCGGATGGACCGGGCTGAACCCGGGCAAAACAGAGCAGACTGGGTCAGACCGAACCTCAGGGAACAGGGCTGGACTGGGCCAAAATGGACCAAACTGGGATGTGGGAATGAGCYTGGATTGGGCTGAACTGGGCCAAAATGGACCTGAGGGTATGAGGCCAGACAGGGTCAAAGCTGGCCAGAGCAAACAGAACTGAATCGGGCTGGACCAAACTTAACGGGAGCGAATGGGGCCGGGCTGAGCCAGGCCAGAACAGGCTGAACCAGGCTGGGGTGACACAGGCGGAATGGGGCCGGAGCGGACCAAATCGGACCGAACCCTGAGGGACCGAACTGGGGGCAACGGGGCCGGGCCAAGCGGGGCCGAACCGGGCCAAGCGGGGCCGAACCGGGCCAAGCGGGGCCGAACCGGGCCAAGCGGGGCCGAACCGGGCCAAGCGGGGCCGAATCACACAGGAGTGTCCCAGACCAAACCAAAACAGGGGGAATCGAACTGGGACAGAGCGCACTGGACCCAACTGGGCTGAACCGGGCCGGACCAACACAGGAGGAACCCGACTGGCCCAAACCGGGTCAGAACAAGCCGAGCAAACGGACCGAACCGGAAGCGGGCCGGGCCAGCCCGGAGGGCGGCAGGGGAAAGCGCGCGGCGCCTCGCGGCCTACCGGGAAGGGCTCGGCGCCCTCCTGGATGACGAAGCCCTCGATGACGTGCGTGAGGATCTGCGGCTTCACGACGGCCTGCGGCGGCTTGCTCTCGCCATTGTGCGGCGCGGCGGCGGCGGCGGCGACGCTGCTGGWGCTGGTGGCGGCGCTGGCGGCAGAGCTCCCGGTGCCCGAGGTCATGCCGGGGGCGGGCGGCTGCGCATGGAGCCGCGCGGGGCCCGTC